GCGGGCGGAGCGCGCGAAACGTGCTACTTCGGCTTCTGCGGGCACTCGTGCGCGCGCGCCGTCGCGAGCGAAACAAACAACTGTGCGCGTGCTGCCCCGCCCAACCGCCCGCGTACTACTCCGGCCTCATTTTTCCATTGCGGCGCGGCCCTGCTCCAGGATTGGCCCGGTCACGTCTGCGACGACTGCTGGACCCCCCCAGGGAAGGATGTGGTGGGGAAGTCAAGCTCGCATCTTCGCTCGAACGTGAAATAGCAGTGGACATGCAAAGCATGGGAAGATATGGGAAGCCCAAATAATCCAACTATGAACGACAGGGCAAGCCGAATTTGGGAAACGATGGGGAGCAAGGCAAGCTATGCTATTGCAGCATGGGAGGAAACTTAGGGAGCTACATGGGCATCTTTGGCCAGGAATATCTGAGAGAAGCCACGGGAGCGGGATAAGGGCGGAATGTCTCCCCTATTGCCATGAGGGCATGCTCCATTGTCGCCGCTGCTGGATCAGATGGCTTCCAGCCGCAAGCAATGGCCCAACCACATGGCGTGGGCACGGTGTGCCCGGCCGCTATCCCGTGCGCAATGCCCGAATTTAGGTTCACCGCGAGGTGGCATTCTGGACGCGCCGTCAATGGCGCGGTGGGCGGCCGCGCGGGGCTGTCTACACAGCGGGCCAAGCTCTCCTTCAGATTGTCGTGCATCTCGCTGGTCTGGCGCACTGCGCTCTCAGGGGGAACACTTTGTTTGGCCACCATGCGGGCGACATTGTCCACGGCGGAGACCGCTCTGGCCTCTCCCGCCGCGCCTGCGACCCGCGGGCGGGGAGACGGGCCGCGACGCACCGATTCCTCCAACTCGAGAGTCCGGTCTCGCGCAGCTTGCCGGGCCCGCGTGCTCGACGACGCCAGCGGGGCGTCCCGGATGCACCCCAGGACGGCATCGGACCCCCATCTTCCGAGGATCTGTATCGCCCGCGTCTCAAGCCCCGCGCCAGCCGAGAGACGCGCGCCTGCGACGCGCAAAGAATGGCCAGTCCAACGATGTACGCCGTCCGCCCCAGCGCCGCGCAGATGGAGAATGTCCGCCGCCACGGCGATGTGCGCGATCATGGCGTCTCTGGTGCGCACGTGGCCCTCGCTCGTAGGATCGTGGGAAACAAAGGAAGATCGGCGTCTGGAGCCCCATCCTGGGAGAACCGCAGTGGGAACAATTGCGTCATCGCGCTAATTTGCGCCAGCATGATGCGGGCTGGACACAACGCCGCGCCCAGAGACTCGCCGCAGCAGCACCCGTGAGACTGGGTTGCGCCGAAGGCGGCCGAGTCGTTCTTACAGGGCGGCAAACACCGCGATGCAACCAAATCAGCTCCGTCGCCCCAAAAAGCGCACCAAGCAAGCGCGCGTTGTGCTGAGTTCAATGTCCCGGGCCAACCACCACGCGCCCGCGCGAGGCAGTTCCGTGGACCAACCGGCCCATGCCTGACCCAAGGATCGCCGCTGACCGGCAGGCGCTTGAAGTCAGCGAAGGTGAACGGCGCGGCCTGGACAGGGGGCCCGAGCCCTCGATTGCACGACCGCGTGGCGTCCTTGAGTACTTGTATCATATTGCCTCTAAGATGGCAGCCCCGACGCTCGGCCTCCACCCGGTACGTCGATAAGTACATGGATGCCGAACGGTACTTGCCCGCCTTCAGCGTCGCCCCAAGTGCATGCACTTTGGCCGCTGTGAGGGGCCGCGGTTCCAGACCCCATTGGCGCAGCATTGCCTCGACGGAACGGAGGCGGGCCGCTACCGTTGAGAAGGTGGACGCTGCATAGACGTGTTAATCCAGACACTGCAAGGCCTGCTCACGGGCAGCGTCAGACTCCAATTGAGGCGTCTCCCCCCTGCCATACGGCGCCCGTGCTGGTGCATCACGGCGCAGGGGCCGCCACCCAACAGCGGCGGTCATGACGGACTCGGCCGGCGCTGATGGTTGCGACTCTGGTGCGTCGCATGCGCCTGCCCGTCCCCCGCCTGCGATCAGCTCGGCTGCTGCCCTCTCTGAACACCACGCCGGCGAAGATGCCGCCGTCGACCCGAACGAAGTTCCCCTCCCTGGCACGCCATGGCCCCTGTGTCGCTTTAGACCGGCCAGGGCCCTCAAATCTTCGCGTGGGCGCACCTTCCGAAGCATCTCGGGGTGCGTCCCACTTATACCCCCTCCTGCTGAGCCGACTTGTTGCCTCGCGCATATATTGCGTGCGCCTGCTAAGGCAACGTGCACGCATGCGGAAGATCGAATCGGTCTCAAGCGAATTGCTGGCACTCTGGCGTGTTGCCGGCACTCCATCACAAAAAAAAAGGAAATTGGGACGAAGGAGCGATGGGAATCCCACCAGCCCTCTGGGCGCAGGTGATTTAGGGAGTTTCCTCGGGGAAGGGCTTGCCCCTCCCCCTAACCACCCCCCTGGACCTCGACGGGAGGTTCCGCGACGCTTTGGAGCGTCCAAAACGGCATCGGCGACGAAGCCAAAATCATTGACTTTACAAGCCCACTTCCCTGATTGAGGCACTTCCTCAGGGCATCGTTTCTGGATGGGCTGGTGGGGCACCGCGACGCGTCTAGAATTGAGACGGAAGTCAAGTTCGCAACTTCGCTGGAATATGAAATAGCAATGGACATGCAACAGATGGGAAGATATGGGAAGCCCCGAGAATCCAACTATGAACGACAGGGCAAGCCGAATTGGGGAAACGATGAGAAACAAGGCAAGCTATGCCATTGCAGCATGGGGGGGGGGGGGGGAACTTAGGGAGCTACATGGGCATCTTTGGCCAGGAATATCTGAGAGAAGCCACGGCGCGGGATAAGGACGGAATGTCTCCCCTATTGCCATGAGCCAATGGGATAAGGCCGAATTCGGCCCCCGGAAGCTTGGCATGGAGGATGAGACCATGTGGCCCCCTCGCCGCCAACGCACTGACAATTGTTACCTGCAACACCTCGTGTTGAATTCGAAGGGGCTGCGCCGCAGCCTCCACTCTGCGCGCCCCGAAGGCACTCCCAAAGTGCCTTCGGCGCGCGCGACCGTGCGCGCCGCAGTCTGTTCGGCGCCGCCTTTGCGCGTTGGAACCTTGAGCATTTGAAGCGGCCCTCATCCGTTTTGCTGTCGCATGGGGGCCCTCCAACCCATGGCGGGCTTTCGGGGGGCAGCGCGGCCGCGACCGCCGTGGCCCGTGCCCTTCGCAGCGCCCGCGCCGCCGGGGCCGCGGCCCCTGCCCGGCGCAAGGAGGGGGGAGGGGGCAGACCAGCGCTGGGCGGCCTGGTCGGCGAGCCCCTGAGCACCGCGCGGCGGGAACGTCCTGCTGCTCGCTGGGCCGACGCGGTCGCCGCCGCAGCAGTCGATGCTGCCGCCGCAGCGCAGCGGCCGCCCCAGCTGCCGCGCTCACGCGGTGGGGGGACTGCCTCTCCAGCAAGCTGCATTCGTGCCTCGCCGCGCGCAGCGCTCTCGGCGGCGCGCGACTGCCAGCGCGCGCCGTGTGATTTCCGCGCCTGGAACTCGAACACCGGGAGGGTCGACCGCGGCCGTCGGGCGCCTTCGCGACGCGGAAGACGCGGGCGCCCAGGAGCCAGCCGACGAGCTCGCCCAAATCCGTCATTCGGTGCTCGCCGAGAAACTGCTGGGCCCCAACCTTCAGCGAGACAAGCTCCCACACGCACGAGACCGTTTTGCACCTTCCCCTCAGGTCCTCGGAGCCCGCAGGCAGGGCGCCGTTGGCCCGCCCCCAGGCGACTCTGAGCGCGCCGTCGGGGAAATGGCCCCTGGCGCCACTTGCCACTTTGCGCCGTCCGACGCCAAGCCACTGGGCGTGGGCAGTGTGGGTTTGGGACGAGAGCCGTCACGGACTGCAGCCAGCGGTGTCTGGCCAACGACGTGCCCGGGGGGGGGGGGGGGGGGCGTTGGTGGGCAACCCGGCATGGCCGGGGGGGGGGCGATGGAGGGCAACCCGGCATGGCCGACACCTTCGCGCGCTTGGCGGCGCTCCTCGCCTCGCGCTGCACTTCGCGCGCGACGGCGGCAAGGTGGGCCCCGGTGCCCGAGACCGCTGCAAAGCGACAGAGGAAACCGTCTCGCACGCCCCGCGCTGCGGCGAAGAGGCCGCGCAGCGGCAGCGTGCCCGCAGCTAGCTCGTCCGCGCTGATGCCAGGGACGAAGGTCCGCGGGAGCTCGGCCACCCGGGCGGCCTTCAAAAAAGGCCCCCACCCCGCTTTTGAGGAACCATGGGGCGAATTATTTGTCCGCGGCATCAGGGAAACGTGTCCTGGCGGAAACAGATCCTGGATTCGGGGGTTTTCCCCAGAAGTGACTTTTCATCGTGGGTCGTTTTTGTACGGTCCCAAGGCCCAGGACGGCCCAAAGAGCCCCAAAGCGGCGAAACACTTCCACCCATCCAGGCCCGATTTTTTTCCTCCGAAGCCCTGTTCTTTCTCGGTGATGTTCTCGGAAGGGCGATCCCTTCTGGGAGGCCCCCTTCCTTCCTAGAAGGCCGCCCCCATCTCGTCCGATCCCCGACAAGAGATCGGGTGTTGCCAGAGGTGACCCAGGCCCAGGGCGGCCCCAGGTTTTCCTGGGAGGCCCAGATGGCCTCCAGAGCACCCCTCACGATGTCCAGAGGGCCCCTGGGGCTCGAAGACGGGGCGCAACGCTGGGGGCGCCTGAGTGACGGAGGAACAGGGGCCTCACTCATGATGACACCGACCTTACGCGGTAGCTCACGCAGTGCCGCCAGCGCGGCACACCCCGAGGAAACGAGGGCGCGGATGTCAGCGCAGTCGACCCCGTTATATTTCGTCGCTCGCCTCTCAGGGTGTCTCTGGAGGTCTCTGGATGTCTCCTGGGATTTCTGGAGGTTCCCGCCGAGGTCACCTCTAGATCGGTCCAGGAGACTTCTGGAGGCCCCAAAGGTCCAGACCCGAGGGCTGGCCTTTGGGCCAGGATCGCCTCTGGCAACCTCCGAAGGAAGAGGGAGCAGCTCATCGCAGGCGCGGCGGGCGCCTCAGACGTAGCGCGTCACGCCGTGGCGGCGAATACCTCCAGAAACGTTGAAAACATCCCAAACGACGACGCCGACGACGACGACGCCGGCAAGAGTATCGGCGCCACCCTGATGTGTGCTCAATAGACTCAGGCTCGGAGCGAAGCAGGAAGGTGGCGCTTTCCCAACACTTTCCTGCGCCATCGCTCTCCTGCCGCACTGGGTATTCATCTCGGTGGCACTGAGAAGAGGGGATCAGCTCGTCACCTGCGCGGGCGGACAGCTCAGACGTAGTGGGCCCACAGCTCCTTGAACGCCGGCCAGTGCTCTAGCGTCTGGCCCTCGGCGGCGAGCAGCGGCTCCAGCGTGGCCGGCAGGTCCGCGACCTCGAGCCCGAGCGGCCCGAGCGTGGCCCCCCTGAGCGGGCCAAAGGCAATGTAGCTACGCAGATGGCACTTCTACCCCACCACCATGCCTGGGCAGAGGCGAACTGGACCCTACCATGGGCGTGCGCACATGGCAAGCACCCGTAGCCCAGGCCAGGAGGGTCAGTGCACCATCTTAAGGGCTTAGGGGCCAGCATTGCCCTGGCCAGGTGTGGCGGCAGTGGTGACGTGCAAATGCCCTCTGCGGGGTAAACTACCTGCACGATTCGCGCTGCGCGCTTCGCGACAGGCGGTTTTCTTCTCAGCCTCGCGATGCCGCCCTGGACAAGGGCATCTTTGCGGCATAGGACGCGAAGCGCGATCAAATTCACATCCCTGCAGCTGACCCCCGGAATCGTCATATTACCCGTGCCGAAACAACTTCACGTCCCTGAAGGTGCCCCCCAGAATCTTCATACTCCCCGTGCCGATAAGGCGCATGAAGTCCCTGGCCGCCCTGGGCGCCCCCCACGGTGAAGGCTTCATTTCGTAAGCTACTTTTGGTCCTCCGCGCGCCAGGAGGTTGTGATCTGGCTGTTGGGCCTTGCGTTCTCTTTGGTCTGGAGGGCGCCGTTGACTATGATCTCCTTGGCGAGCATCCGCTTGTTTATGTCAAATGTGTAGGCCGTGCTGTCCCAAGCATCACCGGCAACCACGCGGTGGATGTACTTCGCCCTGCACCCCCCAAGGTCCACCTGTACCCAGGAGTCGGTCGCGTCGTACTCTGTGAACTTCGCCCACGTGACGTTGGCGGTGTGGCCCATCTGCCCGATGTTGAACTCTATCCAAGACTTGCCCTGGTCCTCCTTGATCCTTGACCGGATCTTGTTCACCTTGCCGCCCACCCTCGCCCCACCCCTTTCCCAGAATTTGAAGCGGTAGGGGGCTTCGTAGAACCCCTCCTGCCTCCTGAAAAGGCCGTCTTAGAAACCTCCGATCCCTACTGCAAAGCTCCTTTCCTTTTTGCCGGCAATGCATCTGCACAGTGCCTTGTTGTACTCAAGGCTCCTTTCCCTCCCAAGTCCGCTAGCCCAGTCGGCGTGCGCGAAAGGCCCTTCGACGCGAGGCTAGCCCAACCCAAACTGAAGTACGCCAGCCCCCTTTGAATCGTCGTCGTCGCGAAGGAGGTCGAACAATCAAGGGGGATTGAACAATGTCATAATTATGTCGAAGGGAAGCCCTTTCCCTGTGTCCCTCGCTGGGGGGGGGGGGCGGTCCAGGGGGTGGTCCCAGGATGGGGGGGTGTCCCGGTCCCGGCCCCAGCCCAGGTCCCAGGGCCCTGGCGCTGGCCCGAACCCCGCTCTGGCCCAGGCCCCGGCCCGCTCCCGAAGAGACAGACGGCTCTCCTCCTCCTCGTCTTCCTCCTCCTCGTCCTTCTCTTCCTCCTCCTCGTCCTCTTTCTTTTCCTGTTCCTGTCCCTGTTCCTTGTCCTCTTGTTCCTGTTCCTCCTCCTCCTCCTCCTTCCCCTCCTCCTCCTCCTCCTCCTCTTCCTCCTCCCCCTCCTGTTCCTCTTCCTCTTCCTCTTCTTCCTCCTCCTCCTCCTCCTCCTCGTCCTCCTCCTCTTTCTCCTCCTCCTCCTCCTTCTCCTCCTCCTCCTCCTCCTCCTTCTCCTCCTCTTCCTCTTTCTCGTTATATTTTTCTTTCTCTTTATCTTTATGTTTCTCTTCCTCCTCCTCCTCCTCCTTCCCCTCCTCCTCATCCCCCATTCCATTTCCTCATAGATAACTCCTCCCTGTCGCACCCCGAGGCCGGTCGAAAGGGCGGGCTGGGCGGTTCGCCTGAAACGTCCTCGTCATTTATGACCTTGAAGCTAAAGCATTGGCAACAGTTTCACACATTGAAGGCGGGCCGCTTCCAACATGTGGCTCTCGCCTTAGCGCCGCGCGCATTCGCTTTGATCATCTGGAAGAGCTTCACGGATTGAGGGAGGGTGGTTTTCAAATTGCGGTTCTCGCCTTAACGCCGCGCACATTCCTGCAAAATGCGTTACCGAGGAACCCCACGTACTTATAGTATGTGTGGCGTGATGATAGCTGAAGTGAAACTTGCGAGAATGATGCTGGTGGCCGTTGCTTCGCCGATACCGTTGGTGACGCCAGTCAAGGCTTGGGAGCCTGGCGCGCCGTGCGAGCAGACACGAGGACAATGCAGACGAGAAACTGAACGGGCGAGGAGAAGGGCGTGGAAAGGAAGAGGGAAGGTGGAGGTTGTGCCCCCCCTGCGCACCCTCTGATGGTGTGTAACATATGCCGCGCCTGCTATGCCCTGGACGACCGTGACGGATAGCGGCCGCGCTCAGAGACCAATCCCTGCGCATCCCTCATGGTGTCGAGCATATGCCACGCCTGCTATGCCCTGGACGACCGTGACTGATAGCGGCCGCGCTCAGAGACCACCCCCATGCGCGCCCCCTATGGTGTCGAGCATATGCCGCGCCTGCTATGCCCTGGACGACCGTGACGGATAGCGGCCGCGCTCAAAGACCACCCCCTGCGCACCCCTATGGTGTCGAGCATATGCCACGCCTGCAATGTCCTGCACGACCGTGACGGATAGCGGCCGCGCTCAGAAACCAACCCTGCGCACCCCTATCGTGTCGAGAGTATGCGACCCCTGCTATGCCCCAGACGACCGTGACTGATAGCGGCCGCGCTCAAAGACCACACCTTGCGCACCCCCTATGGTGTCGAGGATCTGCCACGCCTGCTATGCCCTGGACGACCGTGACGGATAGCGGCCACGCTCAGAAACCACCCCCTGCGCACCCTCTAGGGTGTGGAGAATATGTCACGCCTTCGATGCCTTGGACGACCGTGACGGATAGCGGCCGCGCTCAGAAACCAACCCTGCGCACCCCTATCGTGTCGAGAGTATGCGACCCCTGCTATGCCCCAGACGACCGTGACTGATAGCGGCCGCGCTCAAAGACCACACCTTGCGCACCCCCTATGGTGTCGAGGATCTGCCACGCCTGCTATGCCCTGGACGACCGTGACGGATAGCGGCCGCGCTCAGCAACCACCCGCTGCGCACCCCCTAGGGTGTGGAGAATATGCCGCGCCTGCTATGCCTTGGACGACCGTGACGGATAGCGGCCGCGCTCAGGGACCACCCGCTGCGCACCCCCTAGGGTGTGGAGAATATGCCGCGCCTGCTATGCCTTGGACGACCGTGACGGATAGCGGCCGCGCTCAGGGACCACCCCTGCTATCCACTGCGATTCCTACACGTATGCCTTGTACACGGGGTGTCATGTGTATGGGCATGATGCGCGTGCGGATATATTTGGACGTGTGTCTCATGTGGGTGCCCAGTATGTGGCGCATACGTCGTATGTGTACCCAGGTGTGTGTGTGTGTGTAGATGTGTGATGCAGTGAACACGCCAGGCGTGCACTGGCACTGGCGTTGTTGGTGTGTGTGTGTGCGCGTGTGTGTGTGTGTGTGTGTTTCTGTGTGTGTGTGGGTGTGTGTGTGTGCGTGCGCGCGCGCGCGTGTGTGTGTGTGTGTGTGTGTGTGTGTGTGTGTGTGTGTGTGTGTGTGTGTGTGTGTGTGTGCGAGTGTGCGCGAGTGTGTGCACGCGTGCGGCTGCATGCAGATGCGTGTACCATGTGCGTGCCGTGCATGTGTGCACTGGCGTTGCATGGGGTGTGTGTGCGCGCGTGTGCGCGAATGTGTGCATGCGTGCGGCTGCATATGGACGCGTGTCTCATGTACGTGTCGTGCATGTGTTGCGCGCGTTTGCGGTGAAAGAGGAAGAAGAGGTGGTGAGGGAGGAGGGAGGGAGGTGAGGGAGACGCAAGTGGGACGCGGGAGGGAAAAACACCATAATCCCACCAAACATGTGATGACACATTGGAAGAGGTTCGCGGATTGAGGGCGAGTTGTTTTCAGCATGTGGGTTCGCCTGAGCGCCGCGCACATTTGATTTAGATATTAGCATGCGCTTCACATATTGAGAGTGGCTCGTTGTCAAAATGTGGTTCTCGCCTTAGCGCCGCGCACATTCGTTGTAAACATTTGCACAAGCTGAACAGGTTGAGGGCGGGTCCTTTTCAAAATGTGGCTCAAGCCTGAGCGCCGCGCACATTCGATTGAAACATGTGTATGAGCTTCAGAGATTGAGAGTGGCTCGTTTTCAAAATTTGGCTCTAGCCATAGCGCAGCGCACAATTCGTGTTAAACATTTGCAAGAATTAACTTGTTCTCATGGCTAACGTACCGGTTAATTGTTCTCATGGTTAACTTGTTGAGAGTTCTGAATTGGTCACCGCGCGGTCATCGTAGAGCAGGCCGGCCGAACATGGACAAGCAACTTGGAGGATTTCGGCCGTGTGATCGGCTCTCAATAGCGATCTTGATCACTATATGTTTTTCAAATGTTCAGAATTTCTGCTGCCATTCCTTTTGAACACGCCATGTGAATGAGCCCCCCCCCCCTTCCTGACGCACGCATTGTTTCACCGTGGCGCGCGCGTGTATAGCACGCTGCCGATTGCCACCGCCTGCGCCCTTCATGGGCTCGCCTTCCGGCGCACGGGCTTGACCTTGACCCTGACCTCATGGTTAACGTACTTGAAATGGTGTTTTGGGACGATTCAGGACTGACAGCAGTTGCGTTGGTTCGCGGTGCTGAAATCCCAGAATTTATGTTCTGGCACGATTCAGGATCGGCAAGATGTAGCAGTCAAGTTAACTCGTGGCATTGAAATCCTGCTGGTGTTTTGGCGCGCTTCAAGATGTTCACACGGTTGTCCCCCAACGGGGCAAATTCCTCAGTGGCAATGACCCCTTGTAGGGGCCTACGAAGAGGGATCTTGGAGGGAGGATGTACTTCAACATCGTTGATAAGTCTTGGTTTTGCACAGCTTTTCTTTTTCCTCCTCCTCCTCCATTCCTTTTCCATAGAAATAACTCCTCCCTGTCGCACCCCGAAGCCGGTCGAAAGGGCGGGACGGGCGTTCCGCCTGAGACTTCCTCATCATTTCTGACCATGAAGATTTAACAACAGTTTCACAAATCGAGGGTGGGTGGTTTACAAAATGTGGTCCTCGCCTTAGCGCCGCGAGCCATTTTCAAAACAGTTGCAAACGCTTCACATATTGAGGGTGGGTCATTTTCAAAATCTTGCTATCGCCTAGCCTCCGAGACCATTTGATTCAAACAAGAGCTTCAAGGATTGAGGGCGGGCGTTTTTTGAACGTTCGTGAGAACAGAAGGTTTTCACATCGGTCGTAGCTGCGCTCTGCTCATTGCTCTCTCTCTCTCTCTCTCTTTCCTCTCTCTCTCTCTCTCTTGTCCTCTTCCTTCTCCGAAATCTGTCTCGCTCAAAGCCCCAGCGAGTCGGGGGCCAAGCTTTCTTGGCGCGGGCAGGCGGCGCCATGACACGCGCCGTGCCAGGGCCCCCGGCAGCCGGACCCAGGGGCACACTCGGCCGCCGGGGCCCCCGCCCCCGGCGAGGCGGCGGCTCCTGGGAGGAGCGCGGACCGCTGGAGGGCGGCGGCTCCAGGAAGAGCTATAGCCGCTAGAAAGGTGGCGGCCCGGGAGAAGGGCAGGCCGCCAGAGGCGTCCGCCCTGGCGAGCCGCCGGAGACGCCGGCGAGGAGCCATGCGGCCACTCCATACTCTGGAGTGCAGCGTGGCCGCCGCTATCTTTGCCGTGCTGACGTGGCTCGGCGCGTCGCTGGGGGTCGGCCTCTACGCGGGCTTCACGGCGACGGCCGCGTACAAGGGGCCTGAGATGAGCCGACAACGGCGAGAGCGGCAGCGAGAAGAGAAGCGGCGAGGGTGCCGGGCAGGCCGATCAGGACGGTCTGCCGGGCTGCGCCACCGAGG